AAAGAAAAGGAATTTATTCGGTATGTGCTGTGTACACCGAAGTGCCGGTTTTCAATGAATCCTAAAATAGAACACGGAGTTGTACAGAATAGAAGAAAAAAAACATGTGCTTAATATTACACTCGGTCACAATTAGAAAAGTTAATCTTAATCTAAATTTAGGGAGAAATATAAACATAAAAAAACACAGATCTTAATGTAACTCAATTATGTTAAAACTAACATTACTTATGCTGCGTTGCTGATGCTGTTTGCTAATGTATACATTTAAATATTATTTAGTGACACCTATTGGAAGTAAATACAATTATATTGACATGTGGTATCTAGAATCTGTTAATAGATAATGTTAGTGAGATTATGTGAAAAATGTCTCAAGTCAACTTTGCTTCCTCTTTATACTTTTTAAATCTCTTTGTATAACACTTTTGATGAATAATTAACGTTATCTTTTCATTCAACGTAAAAATCGCTGTTACACTGGAAATTTAAAAAGAAACGCGAGTAATGCGTTTCCTTTTAAATCAGCTAGCCTCTAAGTGGAAATAGGCACTTAGTCTATAGAGACAGGTTGTCATATTCATAGTGCAATCCAACAGTCGGCGCCGGCAGACACGATCACGATTGGCCGTCATTGCACGAATGACAACGTTGATAAACTATTACCAAGCACTGAGTCTTAGGTTTTACTACATATGCAAACTTTAAGGTTAGCCTTGTAACTAACATTCCTCTGAAACTTTAATATTAATTAAACATTTTGAATATTCTAGAGTCGTGAAGCAAACTTTTTATTCTATCAACTAGCTGTTCCCGGGCGGATTCATCCGCATGAAATTATGAAAATTTTATTTTATTGCTTACACTTGTCAAATTATCAATAGCAAATGTCAAAATGACATGACAAGACATGACGTTAGCAAACTTTCTTCCTTGATGTTGGCAGCAACTTATGGTCTCTTTCCCGCATTATGGTCTTTATCTAAAATATTTACCCCCTAAGTTTAATGGCGTGAAAATATATAGCCTAAAGCATGACGTAAATGTAGGGCTTTTTATTAAAAAAAGAATTTTTCAAAAATATGCTGTAATTGCTGAAATCTTAGGCAACAAAGAAGTGTGTGTTTACGCTTTATTATAATAGTATACAAGTATAGATAGTATAGATATGTGACTGTTTTTATCAAATTAAAATTCTGCTTTAGTTTAGCATATCGGAATATTCGAGGTAGAAATCTTGAAACTCTGGCTTTGGGGTCGCAAATTTCAAGTCCAGTTATAAGTATTTATTCAGTGCTAAGCTATTAATATTAACAGCGTCTATTACTATTGTATCGGTGTCCATTAAACCTGGTTGTTGGTATGCCAATAGGGCCGGCGCCTAATGCCGGATGTCCAGTTATGTTTTAATATATCGCCCCGACCCGCAAACTATCACGTAGGCTAACACGGCATCTTCTAGCCTTTGTTTCGATAGGATCATTAACTTTGTCTTATCTAAGCTCTTAACGTCACATTTGAATTTCGAACGAGGCTCGCAGCTTCCTTATTTTGAATTCGAAATTTAAATGTAGCGAAGATCGCTTTGCTTCGATAAGATCGATATCAACTTTAGGTGGTTACAAAATGAATATCTTATTTCCCTCATAATTTCTTTTTTGAATTTTTTTCTATATCTCAATCTGGTTTATCTCTTTTTTTCTCTAAAAAAAATATTAATTTTTACAGGTGTTTCAGCAATGGAAATTGCTTAGTATGTTGACATTATTGGGTTAGCAATGGCATCTGTAAAAATAGGTTAGTTAGGACAAGTCATCGAGGAGTGTTCAGTCACGGACGGGTGGGCACTTGCGTCACCGCATCGACATCGACACACAGTAATCTGACGATAAATCACTCCCGTTTCTGGATCGGAATGAGATCACGAGCTCGAATTATACCGATACTGAGAGACGAGGCTAATTCCTTACCTAATAACGTGAAAGAATTTAGAATTTTAAACCCCAAAACTGCGAGTTTGAGATTAGATATTCATTGAGTTAGATAATTAAACGCATAAGTTAATGTGTGCTTAAAGTCAAATAAATATGTACAGTACTCGAATGTACACATCGTACCGAAGAGTGTTCTTTTCGATCATTTTTAATATGAAAACTCAACGAAAGTTATACGTATGAGCTGAGTATTGAAGATTGAAATCACTGTTATGGTAGTAAAATTCTGAACTGTTATGTTCACATATATGTTTTAATATTAAAAAATGTGCCAAGATATGAGATCCAAAAGATCGAGTGGATCTTATATTGTCATAAATCTAAGATACATTTGTTTCTGAATATTCAATAGAAGACAATCGTATATACATTTTATTTAAATATTAATGAAAATTCAAAGACTTATAACAGTACAGCAACAAGGCGCGAGCGGTTCTAGGATCGATCTCACGAAGGTACAGCCAGGTTCAGAATACCGTTGTATGCTTAAAATAGCAACAGAAATAACAATTTAAGAATGCAATATCTGCCATTTCAAGCGAGCTGCTTCGGACGGCATTTATCGTGCTTATGAATACGTTGTTTATTTATTGAATTATGAAAATAGAATTAATATAACCGCGCTTAGTAGGTTAGCTGTAGACAGTAACGACACTTTGCAAATACCGTTAACTGTTAAGAAATTATAATTATTTCGATACCTTTTGCGCGACTGGCAAATTATTATTTTTCTTCATGAAGTATTACAATCTATTCTGAGAGTCAGACCGACCGAACACTGAGAGGAAATTTGAATATATAACAGCGTGATAAAGCAACAATTAAACTCAAATTTCATAAATTTGACGTCCGTCAGATTGTAGTGTTTACATTTTTGAGATTTGTTTCAATATTTGGTTAGTAGTCGATCAGACTTTTAAATTTACTATTCCGTCATTCCTGTAAATTCATGTTTACTATCAAAAAGTAAAAACGTTTTTGTTAAAAAATAACTCTATAGTTAGTATTGTCCTGTTTATCGATTGAATGGTATTAATCTAAAGATGGTCCGACTCGAGTCGTGTTTCCGTTTAGAATCGCGCCTTATTGATTGACTATTAAAGAGTAACCCCATTATGTTCATTGCATTACAATTTATTAAACAGAAAACATAAATATGCGGACATTAACAATAACATTAACTTCGTAACATAACTCACAACAAGTTTAGACACTCGTATATTTTTGTTGTTGTGTATACGAAACAATTTAAGAAAAATCCAGGTGTGTTAAAACCATCAAAAGAAATTTCCGTCGTCGAACAGGTAATTGGTGTACCTTTCCAATAAATAAATACTAATATTATAAAGAGGAAAGATTTATATTTTTATATGTATTGAAATAACTCAAAAACTGCTGAACCGATTTCAAAAATTCTTTCACCATTAAAAGGCTATTTTATTACTAAATGACATAAACTATATTTTGAATTTTACATGGACGAAGTCGCAAGCAACAGCTAGCGTGTAATATTTACTCTTCGTCAACATCGTTGTTGTCATAGATTATTCAATCCTAAATTCGACAAAAAAAAAATGTTAATAAAAAATTATAATGCCACTTTTTCCGAGAGTAAGAAAACCATTGAAGTTCAAGTTCGCATTTAGTCGAAAGGTAAACGTACGCCTGCGCAGGCGCCGGTTGCGATGTTAAATACAGCGCAGCCACACACGATCTCAACTCCATTACGATCAACGCCATTCTAACGATCGACGGACTTCTGTTTGAACTAAAAACATTGACTGAAAATAAAAATAAAGACGACAGAAAAAAACTATTTTCGGATCTACTAATACAATTAATTTAATTGTCGATTTCAATATTGAATATTAGGAACACACACAATATTAATTGTTGAATATAGAAAATTAGATTTTATTACAGGACATATAATCCTCGAAAAAAACAGAGATAAATGCGA